CCACTCCTTCCCACTCAACTCCAAGACCCCCAACCCCATTCGTCATTTGTCTGTCATCACATTGATTGCTGCTTGGTATTCGATTGCAAATAGCAGTATATCAAAAGTCGAGTTCCACCGGGTTGAGACATAACGGGGCATGATTCTTTCTGGCAACTTCAACTTGGCCAAGGTGAGTTTCCATTCCGGAAGAATTAGTGTTGTTGAATGAATCATCTTGTAGGCAAGTTTCCGGAGCTGTTTGTTATGGTCAGATGGTTGCAAGGTATGTGTTTGATTTGACAAACTTTGACAAGGAGTAATCTAATCGGCTGTATATGTGTCTGTAGCTCTTTGTGCTTGACATCTGTCAGCGCAGACATTTCATCAACCCACCCTTCCATGTTGTCGAATTCGTCACTGTTTGGGTCCCCATCCCCGTTTTCAGCTACCGTTATCCGATCCTCCCACTCGATATCAGTTGTGAGTTCTTGCATATCCTCTTCAGCCTTGCTAAGGACCTCGTCAGCCTTCTTCTTGGGTAAGTCGAACTCCTTAATCAAGCTTTTTGCAACGAGATTGACCACGTGTAGAAAGCAATGTGTCCACGCAGGTTTGCCACCAAAATGTGCTACAAGATCCCCAAGTTCAGCAGTCATCGTGTCATTGTTGGATGCATTGTCAGCAGTGACACTTAGGATCTATCAATATGTAAGTTTTTGTGTGTGTATGTTAGAGAATGACCGACCCTATCTGTTATTCCAAAGTCTTGCAAAATTTTTGCAAATGCTTCAGCAAGATGGAATACAGTGTGCAACTGGGCGGAAAATAAGGTTTGTCAGTTTGTCTTTATGATCAGTGCATGTATACTCACCTTTGCAACCTCTATTATGTCCAGGAACATTGCCAATGGTTCACCCTTGTGCTCGAGGTGAACCGAAACAGCTACAAATGCCTTATGGTTTGGTGAAGTCCACGCATCCATGGTGAAGTTCAATTCACCATCGTAAGTCTGTAGCATTTTTGCAATACGTTTTCTGACATTGACAAATACAAGCTTGACATCACGAGAAACTGTTGATGGCGATGGGATGTAATATTCAGGGTGTCCTGTTTTCATCAAGCATTGGAACCCTCTATCGTGAACGATCTCGAACGAGTGCAAGCTTTCACTAACCCAGTGTACGATTTTGGCTCTGATCAATGCCGTGAGTTTACAGTTGCTTCATTGTGTAATGTACTCACTTCATCTCTGTCTTTGTATGTTGCTGGTGTGAATATGACACCTTGCCCTTGCCCTTTCATTCAAATGCAGTGGTGATTGAGCCAGTCTGTAAAATACTTGTAACCACCCCTTCACGTGTGGAGACTGCCATTTTTGCATCTTGGGCAGCCTTGTATGCAGCCTCGCCCCAACAACTCTTGACATGTTTTGCCATGTTTCTGGTTGACTTCGCGTCACCTTTATCAAGATACCTTCGAATGCGCTGCTTGCAGCCTTTTCCAATGCACTTGAAGACATGTGCACAGCGTCCATTTGTGTACTCGATGCTTGGCATCAGTTCAAAAAAAGCATATACAGGTGATGTCCAACATTTCTTTAACCTCTCTACATGACATCTACTGATTAAAATCATGAACACTATGACAGGAATCAAGGACTTGCCAAGTTCATCATCTGAGGCCTCAGCATCAGAATCATCAACACCAGCCTTTGATTTTTCTGACTCTGTGTCAGACTCGACAACAATGGCATTTCCATGTAAGGATTCCTCCTCCTCTTCTGTATGAACTGTAGGTTGCCTGCAAAGAGGCTGACTATTGGCAGTACTGGCTGGGGGACTTGAATTCAGCGAGTTTGTTTCTGAAGATTTCGAAGGTACGTTCTTCAACTTCTTCAATGGTGCCTTGTTACTAATACTGCTAACCTTTATTTCAGCCCATGGCTTCCATCAGCAACAGCCTGAGCTGCTTTCGCTGTGAGTTTCTTGACACATTTGCCAAACATAGCCGAGGGGAGATTGTGCGTGAGATTGAAGGTTATAATAATGATCCCATTTGTGTAGTGTTTAAGGTTTATGAAGAACTGTACAGTTGCTCAAAGTTTAATGTTTGTCAGTTCTGTTGACTCAGACTCCACGGGTATGTCACAGCACATATTACAGTGACATATTTCTGTATTATACGGGTCACCTGACCTACATAATATCCCATATAAGATGGGCCAGCGGACTATGGGCCGATGTTATGTATATCCCCAATGTTGACGGATGGGCCGGGAGGGATATTATTTCCGATGGAGATGGGTGGGCACATCTATGCTGATATTATATATATCCTCGAAGATGTCAGGTGGGCCAATGTAATGGTTTATTGTATAGATGGGTGGGCCAAGGGAGTGGTGGAATATGTATTATATAGATGGGTGGGCCGATGTAAGGGTTTATTGTATAGACAGGTGGGCCGACATACTGGAATTATTTTGTAGACGGATGGGCTGAGGGAGTGGTGGAATATTTATTATATAGACGGGTGGGCCGATGGAGGGGGATGTTATATAGACGGGTGGGCCGAGGTAGTGAGATATCTGTCTGACATTCACGGATTACCGAGTCCCAGATGCCCGAAAACCGAATCCCATTGTGCAACATCCATTCCGGACACCCGAACACCCCAAGCTCGAGACTGGAAACTGGAAACTGGTGAAAATGTGCGAAATTTCTATTTCCTTACACCAAACACATGAGCACCTGAACACCCAAAGCCTGAAGCTTAAAAGTCCAGTTATCAAATCACCGAGTGCTGAGTCCCGATAGACCCGAAGCCTGAGACCCAAAATCCGAAGCCCGGAACCCAAAAACATGTATGCAAAATGTCCATTTTTCATTCATTGCACAAATCACCAAGTGTCAAGTGACAAAACCCGAAGCTCGAGACCCAGTACACAAATCACCAAGTACCGAGTGCCGAGAGCCAAACCCCAAAGTCCGAAACTTGAAAACATGTATATAACATATCCATTTTTCAGTCATTGCACAAATCACTGAGTGTCGAGTGCCAAAACCCCAAACTTGAAACCCGGTATGCAACATGCCCATTTTTCATTTACATTAAACAAATCATCGAATGACGAGTGCCGAGGCCCAAACCCCGAACCCCGAAAATATGTATACAACATATCCATATTTGCCTCACTGCACAAATCACCAGGTGTCGAGTACCGAAACCCGAAACTTGACACCTGGTACACAAATCACCAAGTGCCGAGTGCCGAGGCCCATGCCCCAATGTCCAAAGCCCGCACCCCTGATGTCCAAAGCCCGAAACCCGAAGCCTAAAACCCGAAAATATGTATACAACATATCAATATTTCACTCATTGCACAAATCACTGAGTGTCGAGTACTGAAACCCGAAACTCAACACCCGGTACAAAAATCACCAAGTGCCAAGTGCCGAGGCCCGATGTCCGAAGCCCGAAACCCAAAGCATGACACCCGAAAATATGTATATAACATATCCATATTTCCCTCACTGCACAAATCACTGAGTGTCGAGTGCCAAAACCCAAAACTCAAAGCACGGTACACAAATCACCAAGTGCCAAGTGCTGAGGCCCGAAGCCCGATGTCCGAAGCCCGAAACCCGAAAATATGTATACAACATATCCATATTTCCCTCACTGCACCAATCACCAAGTGTCAAGTACCGAAACCCGAAACTCGACACCCTGGTACACAAATCACCAAGTGCCAAGTGCCTGAGTGCCGAGTGCTGAGGCCCGATGTCCGAAGCCCGAAACCCGAAGCCTGAAACCCGAAAATATGTATCCAACATATCCATATTTCCCTCACTGCACAAATCACTGTGTTGAGTACTGAAACCCAAAACTTGACACCTGGTACACAAATCACCAAGTGCCGAGTGCCAAGGCCCTGCACCCCGATGTCCGAAGCCCGAAGCCCTGAAAATATGTATACAACATATCAATATTTCACTCATTGCACAAATCACTGAGTGTCAAGTGCGAAAACACAAAACTTGAGACCCGGTACACAAATCACCAAGTGCTGAGTGCTGAGTGCCGAGGCCCGACATCCAAAGCCTGAAACCCGAAGCCTGAAACCCAAAGATATGTATACAACATATCCATATTTCCCTCACTGCACAAATCACCGAGTGTCAAGTACTGAAACCCGAAACTCAACACCCGGTACACGTGACTACAACTGGACATGAATTCTGTATTTCTATGTATTATCCATTGATGTAGGGTTCAAATAACTTGGGAATTGTATTGACTACCAGGGGTCAGGACTTGGGACTCGCTAGTCAATATAGGAAAATGATAATGAATAAATGAAAATTATTATTATGCTTAACTTTCTTAATGAAGGTTGTAGTCCGAGTCTATGTGAGTGTATTGGTGGTCCTACCAAGTATTGGTACTCAGTGTAGTAATGGTTGCAGTGCTGGGCTCAGAACCACTGATTTTCATACTCATGTCATTCTTGTCAATTGGAGATTATTTGAAGACTACGTTAAATGTTAGTCAGTGTCGAGTATGATAATGAATGTATAGTCATACCTCAGTCTGAGAACAAATAGACTGAGGTAGAATGATGCAGGTATGAGGATTATATATTTGTCTGGCATGTTAGCAATGATGTAAAGATGAGGCATGCATTTGTACATGTGTGCAGTAAGTGAGCATACAGATAAAAGAATGAATATTAATAGGGAGACTTGCACATTATGTTGAGATATCCAACATGACAAGCCTGTGATGGGATCAGAGACCTGGAATAACACCCATATATGTCCATTATAGTAGCCCTAATACTTTAGAAAGATACATGAAGGATTGATGTAATGACAGTGGGGATGGGCAGCGCTCAGTCAGTTTTGAATTCCACCCGTGATTTGCTTTGCAGTGCATAGAGTCGAAACAAGTGTCCAATAAAAAGATCGACTGACACTATACTACCACAACAATCTGACAGAAAGTTTGTATGGAGAAATATGTGTGAATTAATGAGACTTAGGTATTCTATGAGAAAAAAGTGTAAATGGTGCTGGCCTTGGGAGGATTACTCACTACAATGGCATGAAGTGCACCGTTTTTTTAGTTTTTTTTCATAGAATACAAGGATGGAGTAAAAAGAAAACATTTCACCAGATTTTTCAAGTGACATGAGAGGTCACATTGCTGGGAACCAGTCGATCTTTGAGCACAGTAATGAGCGTGCTGACTCAGCCCAAAATGATGTGATGCGACACGTTTCGATGCGTCAAGAAAAGGATTAACTGTCCAATGCAGCCCTGATACGTCAAAAGGGACCGCTATAACCCAGTCAAACGGCGTTCTCCAACACAAAAGGCTCATCTTACACGCTTAAACTCTAGAACAACTGTTGAAAAGGAGAATAGTCCTCCTGCCGAAATCTACAGTGCAAGGGACAGTAGTCCAAGTCCTGCAATCGTGGCGCACCTGAAAATTGAGCTCGACACACAACGTGAGAAGACCAAGACATACGAGAAGCGTTACCGCAGCGAGTGCAAGTGGGCCTCACGAAAGGACAATGCTGCTGCATGTCTTCAGGAGCAGCTGCACTCTCTGCAAGCTTCGAGCTCCGATATTGCGGCAGGAGCTCAGGTGGCTGAAGCGCAGCTCGCTGACACTCTGCAACGTGTCAATTGCCTCAAGAGTCATAACGAGATACTCATGAAACGGAACCGTGCACTGACTATGCGTGCAGCACGTGCATCTGCAGCAAAGCATCACACCATCGAGAAGACACGCATTCACAGCACTGAGGCCACTACAAGCTCCTTCGCACTAAAGGAGAAAGGCATCTTCACAGACACTTCCCGTGCCATGGTGCGCAATATGGTTGCCACCCTAGATGTACCTATACGGAGTGTTAATGCCACCATTAATGCCGTGGCGGAGGCACTCAGTGTTGAGATCACTGGTTCTGTTAGTGGACACAGCATCCGTCGAATAGTGGCTGAGGGAGGAGTGGCTGCCGAGGCTCAACTTGTTGATGAGATGAACATTGCAAAAGGTATAGAGGCTTACCATGATTCGGAGAGAACAATTGTATCTGAAAATTGCTAAACAGGAGTAACTTTGAGTGGAGATGCAACCTCACATAAAAATATCAATTATCAGAGCCATCATGTCACTTACTCGTTGCCAGATGGTCATGCTGCAACTCGGTTCGCTGGTATCCTGCACGAGGTGAACTACAAGAGCGAAACACAGCTTCAGGGGTGGAAGTCACGTATCGAGGACATGTATGACACCTACAATGATGTCGTTGGGGGTACAGCAGGCGCTCTGGATGTCCGTGACTTCCCTTCCAAAGTGAAGGGGATGCTTACTGATCATGCGGAAGATCAGAAAAAGCTCGTTCGGCTCTTTACTGAATGGAAACGATCGTGTGAGCGAGAAGTTTGAGGGGAGAGGGCCCTTGCCACCTTACCTCCAGATGATGTCATACACCTCCTTTGGGAAATGACAGAATCCCTCGTAAATGAAGCGGGTGGGATAGGCTTGGCGTTGATGAACAACAGAGGTGCTGCTACAATGCGCATCACAACCTGCTCGCACAAATTGGACAGGAGCAATTTGATTCACTTCCACAGTCCGAAAAGGATGACATTGACTTCTTCGTTTGGGCTGGCTGTTGCATGCACAAAGAACTTAACGCTGCCAAAGGGGGAAATTCTCGTATGCGTGCCTGGTGGATAGAAAATAGTGTTGAGGGTCCAGTTTTATTGATGAACAAGGACAATGTTGCAGCATCTTCTGCAGGCTCGTCAACTGCCAAACAATGTGCTATCCAGGTTTCGACAGGAGGTGCACAAAAAGTCCTGGAACTTGCGGGTGCAGTCTTCCGGCACAAAGACGACAAGAAGGGACAACAGGATTCACTGCGCTATTATTTCGAGGTTGAACTTGGCTACAGAATCCAATGGCCAGACACAAGCAACACACGGTATCATAGCCACAGTGATGCTGCTTTTGAGTATCTCGTAAACGACACACTTTACCTCACATTCCTCAAACTCGTCCCCCTGAAAAAAGAAAGCCGCACATCCACCAATATTGAGTACAATGTCTACTGGGGATTCACATGCCTCAAAACCAAGCAGGAGATGATGTCTTGGGCAACATATAATCAATGTATTACCCACCCATACCTGCGTACAATTTGTAACTCGACAGCCAACATCCTAGACCTTGGACCAATTCACATGAAGGTCATCTCACACCTTAATCACATCGTCAATGATATTAATCTAATTCTGGCACCCGACGCTACTTACGAGACATTGACACTCGACGGCAAGCCTTTCGAGCGGCCTGAAGCATTTTATGCTATTCAACGTCTTGCACTGGATCGCAAAACATATCCTCACTTCCCTCAACTCCTTGTTGCCTTTTTCGAGGGGGCTCTCGACACGTGGATTCGATTTTCTGCCGAGTTCGCAGCTGGCGGAGCAATTGATAAGTCATCCCCTTCCCAACGACAGATGGCTCACATGAAAACTACCAATGATGACAATGAGGGTGCCCTTGGTACTATCCGCACATCCCTCCGCCGTGCCCCGCACATGTCATTATCGCATTTCAATTCTCATTTCATGTACAAGAAGAATCAAATGAACACGTACATTGAAAATGTTCTGGATGTTAGTTCACGCCAGAAACTCCGAAAAAAGGCTCGTGAAAGGGACGAGAGTGGCGAGGAGCGTAAACAGCGGTTCACTGCAGGTCGAGTATGATAAAGAGGTGGTGCGGCAGCACTGGGAGCAAGATTTCAAGAAACGAGCACGCCGTGATGCTGCAGGAGCAAAACTTGATGTGGTCATCCCACGTCTCACACTTGAAGATATCACAAAGCTTTGCACCCCAGAGATCGACCTGCAAATTTGTTGACATCGTTGATTTGACCCTGCAGTACCGGCAGCCAAACACATACCAACCACAAAACAGAAGAAGGTGGAAGTGCTGCTGGAGGCCGTCGGACGGTATTTGAGTGGTGAGGCAACCCCCGGTGGACATCCAACGTCTTCGCAGCTGCAAGCGCTTGACAACAATGCTGTTACATCCCACTTGCTGGAACTAGGGGATGGGGAGGACGAAGCTGAGGATGAATGATGGTTAATTTTCTTGCCAAGTTGTTCGACGTTACCTTATACAGCTGATATTATAATTTCTTCGCGCGTGGAGTTGTTATTGGCGTGCGCTAGTCATATTCTTGATACATTCTTGATATTTTCCATCGTGTTCTGTAGCATCGTGCTTACATAATGTCACACTTTGTTTACGGGCGTTGCCCATCCCCAATGACAGGCATATGTGTGAAATGTGACAATAGACATATTTTTACAAAGTCGCATTTATAGATGATTCAGGCCAAAGATTTCATTAAAAATATGTAGGATAGATTGTAAACTACCTAAGGAGCCCATACTGCCTACTGCCTTGAGGGTAGGGGGTGGGTGGAAGAAAACATGAGTTGACTCAGCATTAAAGTCCTATTATTGCTTCACCGACCATTTTCGATGCTTTGGGTCTTTGAAGTTTCCCACATTCCATTTCTTATCTATTTCACTTCCTCAGTACTCAATTCTTGGTGGATTTGTCTGTAAATTTATGTCTATGATACTTAATATATTTTAAATGTACTCCAGGTTTCTGATCATGAAGATTCAATGTTTTGAAGGTATGGACCCCTTATCAGGAGAAATGGCAAGTATGCACACTAGCTCACAAACTCCAGCCTATTGTGAGCTGATCTTGGTCATAAGAGGCAATAATATAAGCTATGCTCATTATATATTAAAAGGTTGGATCATGGATGCAAGGGCAAGATACTGAAAATCGTGAAAAATGTCAAAAGTGCGATGGTCTATGCTTACATGTAATAACGCTGTCTGTAATATTCAATAATGTGAAAACGAGTAAATATGCACCAGTGGGGATAGATACAACTAGACAGGACATAGGAAGGATGAGTCTGATGCAAAAACGTTGGGTCCGAAACTTTCAGGCCGGGGTTGGGCGTCAGGATCAGGATCAGAATGTCAGGGATGCGTCGGATAAATACTGTTTAATGTGAGTATCAAAAACACGGGTTTTGAGCCCAGTGCCGTGACTATCATTACACCAGGTACTGAGTACTGATTTCTAAGTACTGAGTATCGAGTAATGAAATAACCAATTGACAAGAAAAGACTACCAATACACTCACCTTGACTTGGACTACAACTTTCATTTTTCATTCTCGCCGATGTTTCAGATTTCTTTAGCTTATATCTTGGTCAAATGATAACCGATGGACAAGAAAAGACTACCAATACACTCATCTAGACTCGGACAACAACTTCCATGTTTTCATTATCTTTGCGTATTGCACACCGGGTTTTGAGTTTCAGGTTTTGGCACTCAACACTCAGTGATTTGTGCAATGAGTAAAAAATGGAAATATTGCATACATGTTTTTGGGTTTCAGGCTTCGGAATTTGGGCTTCAGATGTCAGGCTTTGGGCCTTGGCACTTGGCACTCTGCACTTGGTGATTTGTGTACCGGGTCTCAAGTTTCAGGTTTTGGTACTCGACACTCAGTGAGTTGTGCAAGGAGGGAAAAATGGATATGTTGCATACGTATTATCAGGTTTCAGGCTTTGGGTTTTGGGCTTCGGACGTCAGGTTTTGGGCCTTGGACATCGGAGCTCAGGCCTCAGCACTCAGCACTTGGTGATTTGTGTACCAGGTGTCAAGTTTTGGGTTTCGGTACTTGACACTCCATGATTTGTGCAATGAGGGAAATATGGATATGTTGTATACATATTTTTGGGTTTCAGGCTTTGGGTTTCGGGCTTCGGATGTTGGGTTTCAGGCATCGGCATTCGGCACTCAGCACTGGGTGATTTGTGTACCGTTGTAAAGAGTAGATCTGGGCTGGGCTCTACTGAATGTGAGTCCCTAGTCCTGAGGGATGCGAGTATGCTTCGTCCCAAGAGACAACCTAAGAACTACCTTGATAATGCAAGGGAAGTCTTATACAGTTAGAGAGTAGACAAGATATTGGAAGAAAACCTCTTTAATGCTCATCTGTAGTTCCGAGACTACTTCCGAAGTACCGAGAAACTTGTCCGATGCGACCGAAGGTCGTCCGAGGCTGCAAAAGTGTTGTCCAAAGTAGTGCGATGCCTTCCGAGGCTTGCGAAGGCTGTCCGAAGGTCTATATATGTTGGTGTGTCGATGTGTCAGTATGTTGGTGTGTCGAATAACAGTATAAGACTTTGCGCAATGTCCGAAGTCTGGAACAACACTAATCTATTGGGGCTCGAGAATAAACGAAGTGCGAATTTGGCAGCAGTTTAGCCAGACAATCGTTCTGAATGAACAAGGATCAATTGCGCAGTTTATGATTATACTGAGGTGACTCTACTAATTACTACTCGAAGTACAGGAAGTGAAGTGCCCTATCAGTAGCCAGCAAGCGAGATTATATCCTACTTCCGTGAGAGGCCAGAATCTGTAGGCGAAACTAGTAGCGAGATAAGCAAGTCCGAACCTATGTAATAAGCCGCAATGCGTGCTGCTTATATGTATTCCGAGGCTCCCGACAGGATGCCGATGGGATTGTTATCCGTGTAGCACTAAGACGTAGTCAACATATAGTTAGAATAAAGAAAAACGCACCAGCGAAGTCAAAAAGGACGAGGATAGGACATGGTATGGTAACTTGCGAGGTTCGGACGGGTCTCGGAACACGAGAACTGCCTGCGAAAGGTTCGGACAAGTGTGTGCGGCCTTCAGAAGGTCAAGGGAGGTCGGGAAATGGTATGAACATAGGTATTGGATTGCCTGGTTTCAAGCCCAGCGCCACGGCCATCGTTACACCGTATCTCGAGTTTCGGGTTTTGGCACTCGACACTCAGTGATTTGTGCAATGAGTGAAATATGGATATGTTGTATACATATTTTCGGGTTTCAAGCTTCGGGTTTCGGGCTTCGGACATCGGGCTTCGGGCCTCGGCACTCAGCACTCAGCACTTGGTGATTTGTGTACCGGGTGTCGAGTTTTGGGTTTTGGTACTCAACACTCAGTGATTTGTGCAATGAGTGAAATATGGATATGTTGTACACATATTTTCGGGTTTCAGGCTTTGGGTTTCGGGCTTCGGACATTGGGCTTCGGGCCTCGGCACTCGGCACTTGGCACTTGGTGATTTTTGTACCGTGCTTTGAGTTTCGGGTTTTGGCACTCGACACCCGGTGATTTGTGCAGTGAGGGAAATATGGATATGTTGTATACATATTTTCGGATCTTGGGCTTCGGGTTTTGGGCTTCGGACATTGGGGCGTGGGCCTCGGCACTCGGCACTTGGTGATTTGTGTACCCCTTCATCTGCGTTCCTCGACGCTCTTCGTACTCGGGCAATGGATGAGATGCATGAGGCCGCACTCGAGTATGGTATCATTTTGAAGGATCTTGGTAAGCGTGGGGCATTTTGATACAAGTAGCATTTGGATCTGACTATACTCTAGCCGTGATTGACCGACAATTCAAGGGAGAAATTGCATCAACTATGGATAAGCTTACAACAAGGGCATTACAGGCGCAGGTCGAGGCTGCGGTATGTTTCATCCTCTTTGATATAGTCATTCCCTTCATCTAGATGCTGCAGAATGTCGACCGAGAAAATTCGAATAAAGTTAAACAGGAAGAAGGAGCTCTTGCTGTTGCTCGCATCAAGGCCCAGAGCCGCAACGTCAGTACCAACTCATTGTTCAAACTGTCCAAGCCAAACATATTTAACAGACACAAGCCGATTCTGAGGCATATAGCATCATTGCTGCTGCCAAAGCCCAGGCTGAGCGCACAAAGATTGAAGCTCTTGCAGAAGCGGAAGCTATCCGTCTCACCGCGGAGGCCGAAGCACAAGCGGTCAGTATCAGGGCGACGACTGATGCCAAGGTCACGGACCAATTTGCACACGGAATGGAGATGCGTAGAGTGGAAGTAACGCGTGTTCAAGCGTTTGGAAACAAGACTGTCTTCGTGCCTACAGACGGGTTTTGGGTTTTGGCACTCAACACTCGGTGATTTGTGCAATGAGTGAAATATTGATATGTTGTATACATATTTTCGGATTTCGGGCTTCGGGCTTCGGACATCGGGGTGCGGGCCTCAGCACTCGGCACTTGGTGATTTGTGTACCAGGTGTTAAGTTTCGGGTTTCAGTACTCAACACCTGGTGATTTGTGCAGTGAGGGAAATATGGATATGTTGTATACATATTTTCGGATTTCGGGCTGCAGGTTTCGGGCTTCGGACATCAGGGCGCGGGCCTCAGCACTTGGCACTTGGTGGGGTGTTCGGGTGTCTGGAATGGATGTTGCCCAATGGGATTCGGTTTTTGGGCATCTGGGATTCGGTAATCCATGAATGTCAGACAGATATCTCACTACCTCGGCCCACCCGTCTATATAACATCCCCCTCCATCAGCCCACCCATCTATATAATGAATATTTCACCACTCCGTCGGCCCATCCGTCTACAAAATAATTCCAGTATGTCAGCCCACCCGTCTATACAATAAACCCTTACATCGGCCCACCCGTCTATATAATACATATTCCACCACTCCCTCGGCCCACCCGTGTACAAAATACTTCCTGTACCTCGGCCCACCCATCTATACAATAAACTATTACATCGGCCCACCCGACAACTTCGAGGATATATATAATATCAGCATAGATGGGCCCACCCATCTCCATCGGAAATAATATCCCTCCCGGCCCATCCATCAACATCGGGGATATACATAACATCGGCCCATAGTCCACTGGCCTGTCTTATATGGGATATTATGTAGGTCGGGTGACCCGTATAATACGGAATTTGTCACTGAAGGGGCTTGTCACGGGTCATGGGTACTGAGCACCTATACCCATACCCGTACCCATGAGGTACCCATACCCGTGACCCGTGCGGGTTACCCATACCCATGCCAATACCTAGCTGCGAGTTGGTGCTGCGAACCTGGGTGGTATGGACTGAAGTATTATGCATTGCAAGCCTGTAATTATGTGAATCTCTACAGTGTGCTCACACAGCAGTCCAGGTAAGGTATAATAGTTCCTTGAAGAATGTCAGTATTGTATTTTTAAATGTGTGTATTACTTACTAATTGCCTATCAGACATCATGAATAACACATCTTGAGGTCATGGATTGTGGTATAATAAGTCATGGTGTTGAGGAATCTGTAGATTTTCATTGAGTAGCCAATGATAGAAAACAGGTACTCAACACACCTGGTTTCCATTTCCATTTCTGTCCCCTCTAATATTTGCATCGGCATTGTGATCCATCCTAAACTTGTCGATATAGGTCAGCATAAAGGGTGAATCAGTAAATTGATGTACTGACCTTTGTTGCGGTCACAGTGAGTAAGGTACATCTAAGTCCTGATTTGGCAGTGATCTATTTAGAGTGTCTTTGGCATTTTCCAGATGCACGGGATGCTGACTAAGGCAAGTGCTCATAGTTCAGTGGTTGAGTTGTTCATTGAACTCTTCTGAGTCAGCACAATTTTTCCTGGCCACATGGATAGCTGCTACAGCTCAACACCCATATTCAACCAGACTCACTGTTGCATCATCAGTATGTGTTTATAATTACCTTCCTGCCACTGTTCATTCTGTGTATGCATGATTCGCTTGTCTTCAGTAGGGTGCGGTTTTGACACTTATACAGAAATCGTGGAACATGGAACTGGTCTTGCCATTGTTTGTCTTGGAAATCAGTTTGTGTCCCTCACCTCTGTCTTTGAGGTATTCTCTACTCAAATCTATGTGCACTCATCATCAGCAACCTGACCTTTGGTGCCGCCTGATACATCATGACAGAAGGTAGATTTGCAACTACCCCCAGGCTGTATCTCATTCAGCATTCTCTCCTGTTTCGCTGGACCAAGCATTCACTACCTGGACATGAGGCCTTGATCAGCCTTCTCTATGTCACTATGGCACTTCAGACACCTATTTGATTACTTCTGGATTTCAATTCTTGCTCTTTGTATTGCTCCTTTCTTTTTCAACCCACATCAGTTTGCATCTGCAGAATTTGTGAGTGGTCTCGGCACCCATGTTATGTCGCAACTTGCCCATGAATTTATTGTCAAGATCATTGAGCTGTTGCTGTGGAGCTCTGACCTTCTCATTGGTCACTATTGTTCATATTGACCTTGCCTATTCTTTCCTCATATGTGGATTGTCTGCATGCAATGCTGCTTTGTGAGTTGTCTACCGTGATATTTTTTCTGTATTACTCATTTTATGGCTGCAGTTCTGGTCACAGCCCTCCAAGCAGATTCGCACTCCCCTCTATTCTTTGAAACATAAAAGCAACACTGCTGGATAGTAAGGGTTTCCAAATACTGGCAGACAAGGATGTTCATACATAACCCCAGATCATCAAATACATACTACAACGAGACAAGCCTATACTTTTGTGGTGCTTGCCGTATTGAATCTGGAGATGACATGTACGTTTTAAGGAGACAATGCAGTTGTACTGAATGTTGTATAGGGACCATACTAGGAAACATATCAGACTGGGGAGAACTAATATACTTCACTTATTATCATACTCCTATGCCATTTCTACAGATCTTACACTTGTCTGTTGTACTAGATGGTGGCACCATGTCGCAGTTTTGTTACTAAGTCCTATATTATTACATGTTTGCTTATCAGTGCTAAAGGCACTTGAAAAATTTATGACATAAATGGTTTTATTTAGTAGAAGCAAAATTATATCCCTCCATAGTTCTCAAGGCAAACAAGGGAATATGAGATTGCTCAACAAGTTGACCCTAATTACACTGTCATACCTTGCCGGTCACGATGGTGCAACATTGTGACCTTGTCACAAACTCCCATGTGAATCTAGATTGTATGACAAGTGCTAATTGCACTTTCCCTGAGAAGGTCTTAAAATAGCCTTGTAGGTCAAATATCAACAAAGGAGCATGAGATTGTTCAACAAGTTAAATTTACTTACACTATCATACCATACTGGCCATGATGGTGCATTTTCATGACATTGTCGTGAACTCCTCATAATCATCTATATTTGCGGACATCTATAACTATATATGAAAAACTCATATGCCTCATAGTATATAATGGCATATCTAGCACAAGCAGAATTATATCCAATTATAGTTCCCATGGCCACCATATCAAAAACTTGTCAATTCACTGATGACTTGGAGGGGCCAGAGGGCCATGATAGAGCTTGTATTAGTGATACTGCCATCAACAATACTGGTACTCTTGTTGCTTCCTCATCAAATGACACATGTGTTCACCCATGGAAACTCTTAAAAAAATCACCCATCGCCATGTTCAAGTACCCCAGCCCTGTATTCCGTGCCACATATTCTCTGTGGATAGCAAGCACATACTCAGTGCAGGTGATGATCAGAGGATATAAGAGTAGGAATTTCTATAGTGTTACGTACTGGAGGACAAACAGCACACCAGGTAGGTGTTACAAGAACATCTAGACGCTTGGGCCCCTACTATTTTTCTCCTAATCCTCCTCGTATCAGCCCTCGCATCATACCCTTACCCCGACCTTACCCTTGTCATCCTCGTCATCCTCGCATTCCCTTTCGCCCTCTACCTGTCGCTTCAGCAAAGCCAGTACATTTGGCCGGATCCTTTCGCTGACGAAGCATACCCGTGCTCCGTTTCACCACCTGACTGATCCTGCGGACAGTCCCCTTGCCCTTACCGTCTGGACGGTAACCTATGACATGATGCACGACGCATCCCCTTTGCCCTATTCCCTTTCTTGATCTCTGACTCGGTGCGCAGTCGCACATGCGACTTATACTTAGATCCGCAGCTGCACGATCGTGCCCCTGCGCGTTTCACTTCTTATTTCGATCTTTGACTCACTTTCTTATCTAGCACGTTCTACCTAGACCGAACGTGCCTTCCTGTTATGGTCTTACCCTTTACCGATTGCCTCTCCCGGTAGTACGAGTTATCATCCACTAATACGTCTCCTGTCCTCTATATAAACTCGCTACCATGTACTATATTCCCTAACTTGAATCTACTTGGTTCTTGACCTCCTACTCTCACCAGAGTGATCCTTTCTGCCTCGCCAGCAGTCTATATTCTATCTTCTTATCTGCTCTTCGCGGATAAGCCTATAGTCTCGACCTTTACTCATCGACTTCGTCGACGAGCAAAGCCCCTGTTAACTAGTCGGACTTCTGTCCTTCTAATTAACGACGATCCTTACGATTAACCTTCGGGTGTCGTAAGCCTAGGCCGATATAGCTTATCGTCTCGCACCCGCGTGACATAAGCTACCCGATTTGGACATAGGCGTCAAATCGTACTTGCCGAAGACACGCCAAGTACGACCCCTAACCTTGGGCTAGCCCAAGGACGTCCACAGACCGTTGACGACACAAGCTCTGTTTGAGCGTCGCCAACAGATACCATCCAAGTCATAACAAAAGATTCAAGTTCCCTTCTAGCCCTCGACACCTATCGAGGACAGAAACAGATACAAGACGACCACTCCCTGGACACGCAAGTTCTCTTGGGAGCGCGACCCAAATCAGGAAGATCCTGACGAAGAAGAGGTAGACGGACAGTTTAGCTCTCCCACCTCACCGACAGAGCAGTACCACTCAGACGAGGGACTGAACGACGAAGAAGATCTAGGAAACACTCCGACTTCTGAAGAGGACTTTCCAGATGAAGTACCTCCCCGAAACACTAGCGCCAATCCGAAGACAAGAATGTCTAACCCATCCTCCTCCACCGCCGTCGTAGTTCGTGCCCCTGAACTCAAAGCAGGGTCACCAACTGACTATGATGGGAACACCGACGATGCACAACGATGGCTCTACAGCTTAAAGACGTACTTCCTCATCAACCCCACCGTCTATTGCAGCGAGCAAATCATGGTCTCAGTCGCCCTGTCATTAATGACAAAGAACAGCGCTAAAGCATGGGCTGATAACTTCTATCGCGAAGCTTTCAGCACCAACCCTCCGAAATTCGGAACGTTCGCAGAATTCGAGAAAGGATTCAACCTTGCATTTCAACCCATTGATAAGCAGGTGAATGCCCTCACCGAAATCGCCGAACTCAGAATGGGAAACAACGTTACGGACTACATCTCGAAGTTCAAAACGTTGGCTACCATCGCCAATATCAAGGAAGGCGTGACACTCTCACACTTCTTTGAGAAAGGCCTGAACCCAAGCCTTCGCGAAGCAATCTACAGGAAGGAGACACTTCCTGACACCATCAAAAAATGGTACACTTCTGCGGTACAGCTCGATGCTAACTACCGTAGGAGCAAGGCCGTCTCTGCCAACTCCCGAAACCAACACACCCGATACGCCCCTCGCGGTTCCAAGTACTACCCCAAGCCTAATGTCTCATCGTCCAGAGACCCTAACGCTATGGATGTAGACCGCACCCTCTCTCAGGCAGAGAAAGACTGAATGCTACAAGAAGGGCCTTTG